CTCTCTCTGTCTCTCTCTCTCTCTCTCTCTGTGCTTGAAGGCTCCGCATGATCTCCAGTGGGGCAGAACCAGGACCCACCTGCAAGCCAACCCTAGCGTCACCCTCCACCATACACCAACGCACGGCCCCTGTCTCTCACCCTAATCCTGCCATCCCTCAGTATCACACACCTGCGATCACACTGGACGACATTTTGTGACCCTGGGCTGTTTTTTCACTCAGCCAATTGGTCTTGAAATTCACCTCTGTCCTCGTCTGAGTCAAGAGTGCTTGGGATATTCAAATGCTACTCTGTTGTGTAGGGTGTCACAGTTTGCTCACCTACTCACCACCACCGGAAGGACACACAGAACATTTCTATTTTGGAGCTGTTCAAAATAGAAGCGCATAGCTGGGCATGGTGGGACCTGCCTGTAATCCCAGCATTCTGGAAGGCTGAAGCAGGAGGGTTGCAAATGCAAACAGTCTGGGCATCTTGGTGATTTATCGAGACTGTCTCAAAATAAAAATTAAAAAAGAATGGCTGGGGATGTAGCTCATTGTGAAGGCTCTGGGTTCCATCCCCAGTTCAGCACATACACTATGGAGGTGCTATTAGCCTTTATGTACAGGTTGCCACAGGAAGTGGGTGGAGAGGTAGCTCATAGTGGCTTTGATTTGCATCTCCCTAATGGCTCCTAACCCTGAGCCTCTTTTCCTGTGTGGAAGGCTAAGTGGATATCTTCCTTGGAGAAATGGCCACTCAAGTCCTTTGTCAATTTTTAATTGCTTTGTAACATGTTGTTGTTGAGTTGTAGGAGTGCTTTATATATTTTGCTTGCTCAACCATTTTTTTTCTTCCCCCTAGTCCAGTACTGAGGATTGAAGCCAGGGCCTTCACACTGAGCTGCAGCCCCATCCCTTTTTACAGTTTGAGACAGGATCTTGCTAAGTCTCTAAACTGCAGATGGGCAAACCAGGACATCCATACAATGGCATAGTAATTAAAACAGCAAGGAGACTTTGATGCTCATGATGGATCCAGGATTTGTGCTGGTGGGAGAGAATCCAGCCTACAAGTCCACAGACAATGCTGAAGACATCCAGGTCATTTCCATTTCGGTGGGGCCGTCATGAGCACAGGTGTTAGGGACATTGTTGCACACAATTCTGTGTAAGTCATCAAACTTCTGGGACAAATATCCAAGAATACAATTCCTGGATTGTGTAGTCATTGCATATTTATTTTTATAAGGAACTGCTGGACTCCTTTGCACTGTACACCCCCACCAGGGTCTATGAGGTCCCCGCTGTCTGGCTCCCTGGTAGGCTATGAGTCTCTCCGTGCACTCAAGTGCATTTCAGCAGAACTCCATCCTAGTGGGGCAGAGGGTGCAGGAAATGAGAACTCAAAAAGAAACAAAACAAAACAAAACCACACTAGACCATATGTCTTGATACTCAGGCCACACAAGTAGTCCAGGCTGCCCACACCCAGAGCTCGCCTCACCCTCCAGGGCCCACACTTTTGGAGTGTGTACTTCTTTGATTTCGCCTAATAACCATGCCTGCCCATCCTGAAATGCTTTTTCCTGACAAGGCATCAAGAAACTGCCTGGGGTGAGCCAAAGTCCTCATCTCTTCTTTCAGGTGACCTCAGACCCCATTCAGTGACATAGAATAAACGTTCTTAGTCTTTGTCCCCAGTTCGCTGCACAAAGCTCCTAAGACCTTTGGACTTTCCTGACTCTTAACAAGCCCCTTTGTATCACACCTGAGGTATTAGTCACTTTCCTGTGGCTGAGACACAATACTCACACCCACAATTTAAAGGACAGTTTTATTTTGGCTCACGGTTTGTGGAGGTTTCAGTCAGCAGTCCAGTGGCTCCAAGGCAGGGCAGCATGGCAGAGGAACAGGGTGGAGCTGGTTATCACATGGCAGCCAGGAAGGGAAGCCCATAGTGACCGCCTCTTCTGACCAGGCCCTCCTGCCAACAGCAAGCCAGCTAGAGTGCCCCATAGTCTTCACCAAGCCCAGATGTGGGCAAATGAGGCTTTGGCGGGACATCTAGACATAACCCTTAACTCCTGAGTTTACACTCACGTGGCGACTTGGCGCGGGGCCCTAGATAGTCCAGGTGAGTCGGATCCTCACACCTTGCCATAGGAGGGTTGGGACCTTCAGCCTGCCCAAGGCAAGGCTCACCAATGTCACCCCTGCCAAAGGCACCATGGGCGTTGTCCCATCAGACTTCACTTACAAACCACTAAATCAAGGATAAAATTAAGAATTTCAAGATGTCAACTGCAGAGGATTCAAATCCAAGCATAGGGAGCTAAGCATAGGCCCAGTACGTTTGTTGTATGGCTGTTTTTGTATGCATCTTTCAAAGCTCTCAGTTCTAGGTTGACTTGTACTTGTTTCTATCATGAATGAATTTTGCCCGGTATTTGCTAACTGGTTAGTAACGAGTACAAGTTGTGTAGCTACTTTTAAGGCTATTTTACCATCTCATAGCACTGTTTCAGTGACATTAATAGTTTCGAGCTGGGGATTTAGCTCAGTGGTTCCAGCGCCTGCCTCACAAGTGCAAGGTCCCAAGTTCGATCCCCGGTACCAAAAAAAAAGTTTTGGTATTAGCTCTCTTGGGTTTTCTACATAGAAAAATCACTTAGAAATAATAGCTACCCCTTGTTTTAGGTCATTTTAACCTGGCAGCCACCCCTGGAATCGGGCACTTTTGTTATCCCAATTTCACAGTGGAGGTGTGTGGAACTTCAGAGATTTGTCCAACCTCAAAGAGCTAATGGTAAGAGAATCAAATCAAAACCCCTGTCCACTCCAGAGCAACAGCCTCCCCATCTGCTCTCATCTCAGCCTCCATTAGATGGACTCTCCTTCCTTTACTTTTGTGTTTGAAGACCGAGTACCTTGAGTAGAACTTGCAGAACAATAACAGTGGTGACAGCAAATACTGTGTCCTTATCGTTTTGAATTTTAACTGATAAAGTCTCTTTCATGTTCCATTTTTAATCACTTTTTTTTTTGGTACCAGGGATTGAACTTCATGTTCCATTTTTAAGTAAGATAAAGATGACTATAGCTTAAAAAGGCAACCTTGGTAATGTGAGAATATTAGCAATGATGTGTATTCCTCTATCAAAGACCCCCAAATCAATCTATTTGGAAGAGGGATGAATCATGAAACTTTATTGATAAGGCTTCCTTCCCAAAGGTGTATTCCAACATTTACAGTACATAAAATATCACACTTCCTTGTCGAGAAACACAAACTGGCCACTGTGTTGATGCTGATTTAAGAGAAATACAAGCCTCCTACCTGAGGCAAGTCCATATCTGAAGAATATGACCAACATCTACAAAACCTCAATTCAACAACCTACTTTAAAGATCTGTAAGAAACTCAGAGGTTGGCTGTTTTGAGAGGCTGATATGTATTTTCTTCTTCTTTTCTTTTGAGATAGGGTCTCACTCTGTCGTCCAGGGTGGTCTTGAAATTGCACTGTAGCCCACGCTGGCCTTGAACTTCGAAATCCTCTAGCCTCAGCCTCCCAGAGTGCTGGGGTTACAGGTGTGCACCACACCCAGCTGATATGCATATTAAACAAACATAAAAAGCACTGTATTTCCAGAGGAATGAAGACTATGTATACCTGGATTAGCACCTAGAAAGTACATAGAAAACAGGAACAAAGAAGGGGAAAGCTGCTGAAATCATTTGAGCAGAGGTTATTCCAAGAGAAGATTCTCGTTGGTGCCAGACAGTAACTTGCTAGCTTCCATGTGAGCTTGGTGACCGGTTGGCTGTGCTTCCTGTCTTCCACAGTGCTTTATGACAGAAGTGTCGTGCCTGGTATGCTTTACATGTAAACTTAAAGGATTCCATGCTTTATGACCACCCTCATTTTTGTCCACAATTATTTCAATACACATTGAGCTGTGCTTAGGGAGATGCTGGGAAAGCACTGCTTTTAGATGTGACACTGTTCAAGGAGGGCGCCCTGGGGAATCCCCATATTTCAAAAGGACACTGATGATCTGCGGAGGTCACTAGCCAGGCATGGGTAGGTTCTGAAAAGCTTCGCTGGGACTAGGAAAGGCTGTGCACCGTGTGAGGCCTGGTTACCATGATGCTGTGCCCTAACATGACCTCTGTTCACATCCCATTGGCTACAGGAGGACTCCCTAGCTCATGGGAGACAGTGATTAAGCGGGGTGACTTTGTGCCCAGGAGTCATCGGGCAATGTGTGGGAACAGTTTTTCATAACCCTGGGGGCTGCAGCATCTGGTGGGAAAGAGGGTAGCAATACTACTAAGTGAGCTACCATGGCCAGGGCAGCCCCACCACAGAAGCCTCGAGCCATGAATGTGAGTGAGTGCTGAGGCGGAAAGGCACCAGGAGAGGGTCACATGATGTCTCCGGGCCGTCCAGGCACTGGCATGCACCACTCGGAGGCCTCCATGCGTTCCCTGAGTGTCCAGACCAGGACCTGCCCCCCGAAATGCACAGACACAAAGGGCAAACTGAATAAAAAGGTGCTAAAGGCACATCCAGTATACAGTGGATCCTTAAGTTACGACTGGCCTGACATACAAACAACTTGAGTTATGACTGGTATTTTAGTTTTAACTTATGACTACAGTCTGGAGTTATGACCCGAATGCTGGCTGCTAGTTCTTCCAGATGGTCTCAGATATAGATCTAACCCCGAAAGAGTTCTGGAAGGAACATTACCACATCCTTTCCTGTGTGGGGTTAATTGGGAAATCCTGGGCCAGTGTCTCTCTAAGGAAACTGGGATCTGGCTGGAAGAAAGTGTGGCCTGAAATTATCCAGGGGAGAGACTTGTTGTTTTTTTTTTTCTTTCCAGGAGAGAGACTTTGAAGGCAATTGACCAACTAGAGTTACAACCTGCCCTTGGGAATGAACGGAGTTTGTAAGTCAAGAGTCCACTGTACTTCATTTTAAACTAAAAAAAAAAAGTACACACAAAATGCCATGCACAAGAGATGCCATTTTTTTTCTTTTACATATTTACAATTTTACATATTTACTTATCAATATATCTTCTGTCTTTACAGTTACAAAATTATTTCAAAATGTGGAACAGTGGCAACACTGGCAACACTGGATTCCCTTCAACGTACACTTTGTGGCATTGATTTGTTTTCTCCTTTAAAAGGCAATTATTTACCCCAAACTAAATAGTGAATACCTCAGAGGAAAATCATGGAGGAAAAAAATATTTAAACAGAATTTTTACATAAGCCTTAAATGAATCTGTTTCAGTAACTCAAATAAATAGTATTTTATTATTTACTAAGCTTCCCCTGACACAATAAAGAAAACAAAACAAACTAAACAACCCCCACTGACTGTACCTTAAAATGTTCTGACGTCTGTAAGCAATTAAGTTATGTTCTAGACCCCAATCAGAGGATGTGGTAAGGGCTACCTACAAGTCAGGCTCAAATAAATACTCTCCCTCAAGTGCCATCATCCTGCATACACTTGTGGTTGCAATGGTGGAGGAAGTTTGTCGTTCTCAACATTTTCAGAGTCTATAGCTGCTAATGGCTGGGTTGCAGGCTTAATTTCAAGTGGGTATTTTTCAACAATGTCTTGCACCTCTTTTGCAATTCCATCTGTCCAATCTATTAGGTCTTTTTCAAGTTTCTTAGCTTCACTCATGATCCTTTCCTGCCGTTCATTCAACTGAGACAGGAGATCTAAGTTCTTATACATCTGCTTAACGCCCAGGCAGGCGTCCGGGGACCAGCTCTCAGGTTCCTGCTTCCTGGGAGAGGTCTGGCCAGACATGTAGCGATCAAAATCCTCCTGGCTTAAATTCAGAGACTGGGCATCCAATTTTTCAATGAAAGCCACAGCACAGCACTGCCAAGAGAAGAGAATATTATTAGTCACGTGTGAAAAGCTACAAATATTCAAACTGTTTTTTAAAGAATTATTTGTGTAGTACTGCAGATTGAACTCAGGGCTTTTGCACTCCCCAACTCTTGTTTTATTTTTTATTTTGAGACAGGGTCTCATTAAGTCACTAAGTTGCCCAGGGCTCATTCAAACTTGTGATCCTCCTGCCTCAGCCCCTAGTGCTGGTGTTACAGGTGTGCGTCACCATGCACAGATTCAAATAGATTTTTAAAAATCTTGTTATGGAGAACTTGAAACAGGAGCAAAAGCAGACAAAGAGCAATGAGTTTCCCTTTATTTATATAGCAATGAGTTTATCTTTATTATGCTTCAGTGGATTTTCTCTTTTCTGCTTAAATAGAATTTATTACAAAAAGAATTGGGTACGTAGGAAGCTTTTTTTTTTTGCTTGAAAATCACCTACTCACAGCCAATCTCACGTTTCCCTGAGCATCTGGGTGTCCCTTCCGAGGGCACCACAAAGCCACCCCTCAGAGCTCCAGCCAGACCCACCACCCCACCAGAGCCAGGGGCATGGATTCTTGAGGGCCCCTGATCCCCAAGAGATATTTTACCATCAAATGGCTAAAGGAGGGCCAGGGATTTAGCTCAGTGGTGCCGCACCTGCCTCGCAAGTGCAAGGTCCTGAGTTCAACGCCTGCTACCAAAAAAAAATGGTCGAAGGAAGAACTTTGAAGTCAGACCACCTGAGTTAACTGTCACCTCTCTCACTTAACAGCAACAGTGTGTGGCCCTGGGAAAGTCAGCCGACCTCTGTAAAATGCTGTTCGGCACTGTAAAATGGGGGCAGTATCAGCCAGATTCTTGTGAGTCGGGAGACAACACAGCCCACACAACATGCTTGGCCCGAACGTCCCCACCAGGCAGGGGACAAATGGCAGCAGCTATGACACAGATGCGCAGGGCACAGGCCTGCTACACAGACACCCGCGAGTCACACGTTACACCGACTGAGTCATTCTGCAGGGAGCATGACACTTCACCCTGAGCACGACTTCCACAGGGAAGTCATGTAAGTGAAACGGATGGCCAGGCAGCACTGAGGTTCCTGAGACTCATCCCAGCAGAGCCCTGCATCTCTTGCAGGTGTCTCCCTCGGACCCCGCCCACTGGCTCACAGCGTGCGTGCACTCACGCATCCCGGCCACCAGGGGAGAGGTGGATCTAACATGACCCCTACACTCCTAACAGCGACAGGGACCTGGACAACTCCCTGGCAGTGGGGAAGTGATTTCAGCTCTGAGTGAATTGTGTCTGAGGCACAATGAACACTGGAGCTCAGTGCGGGCTCCAGACCTGTGGTCCTCACCGCCCGGGTGATTGACAGAACTGTCAGCTGGGACAGGGCAGTGGCAGCGAGGCACGAAGAGGACAGAACAGCACATCGGGGAATTAACCCCTCAGGAGGAGCAGAGGATGCACCATCTGCAGCGGAATGAACAAGTGAATGGTGGAAGCCAAGGCCAGAAAAAGAAATTCCAGAGCAAAGAAGACTCAGGAGCCCTGGGCAGAGTAAGGTCAGCCTTCTAAAGAGGGTCAGGCTCCAAGACCTGACTGATGGCAGGACTTGCCTGTGGCCAGGACGCCAGAGTGACACCCTCAGCAAGACACAGCGCCTCCTTTCCAAAGGCCACACAGCCTCTGGCCAAGTGCCAGGAGGTGGAGAATCTGCGTGACCTGGTCACATGTGCTCTATGACACAGAGCGAGCATCACCAGCCAGCCTGGGAGCAGTCCATGACAGCCCAAACACAAGTCCCTCGGGAAGCCGGTGTGGTGGTGCACCCCTGAGATCCCAGCGCTGGGGAGGCTGAGGCAGGAGGATCATACTGAGTTCAAGGGCAGCTTGAACTAAGATCTTGTCTCAAAAAAAACCCAGAAAAAAATCAATCAGTCAGTCAATCAGTCAACCCCCTCTGTAAGCCCGACTCCAGTCCTACCAGGTTGGTGAAGTAGTAGCCATCCTCTCCGGTCATCAGCCGGCTCGGGTTACAGAAGCGTGTGATGTACTGGATGTTGGACTGCAGGCGGGGCGGGTTGCCCTTCAGCACAATGTAGATGAGCGTGGGCAGGAAGTCGTCTGCGGATGCAGGCTCATTCTTGGTAATCTTGATGGCGTTGAAGATGTGCTTGCTGCACCTGGTGATACAGGCCAGCTTGTCTCGGGGCACGCGCTTCGAGTCCATCTCGATGATGTCTGTGAGGTGGAAGACATGATGTCAACGTGGGAAACGATCAATGAGAGAAGCAACAGGGTGATACTTCTACCTGTTGCAGTGACGGGGAAGTCCCCACTGACCCCCCGTCCAGCAGCTAACTGAGGCTATGAAGAGCCTGGGCCCCAACAGTAAATACAAGTTCTCCCTCACAGGACACTGACCCTCGAGCCAGGCAGTACACAGCATGCTCCACAATCATAAGCTTATGCAATGAAGATGATTACCCATCATAGATGAGGAAGTAGAGGCTGAGAGAGGGTAAGTGACCCCCACAATCACACGGAGAGCAGGAGACAGCAGTGAAAATTTGAAACCACATCTGACCCTAAACCCAGGCTTCTGATCACATGGGGCTGGCCTCTGAGCTGGGTGAAGGGAGAGTTGCCAGAAGTCTTTTATTGTTCTGCTCCATTGAGAAGTCTCAATGTACACACTGCACACAGCATGTTCCCACTCACATTGGGAGCTGAGAAAGCCAAGGACCAAAGATGGGACGGGGTAGAAAGGGCAGTGCCGAGGCCCAGATGGAGCACGGTGGCCACTCTCACTGAGGGTTCATGTACTGCGTACACCTAATACATCAGTGTCCAGGGCAAGCAGGGAAAGGCTGCAAACTAAAGCGATGGCAAGGAGAGGGAAATGGTAATGACACTGCTCTCTCCCTTTGAGCTGTATGCATGTGAGGAAATATCACAATGAACCCATTCATATGTATGATTATACACACAGATAAAAAATACAGAGCAGAGCTGGGGATTTAGCTCAGCGGTTTTGCCACCTGCTGCGCAAGTGCAAGGACCCAAGTTCAATCCCTGGTACCAAAAAAAAAAAAAAATACAGAGCAATGTGGCTACTACACAAAACATCTTTGTACTGGAGATCAGAATGCAGCACACTTGGGTCTGCAGTGGTCAATCCTCTTGGCATGAAAATCTCCACAGGGCACATATGACACATGTCACTGGCTTACCGGCAGAAGGGACAAAGCAAGGGAACATGTTTATTCCAAAGGACCATTTTAGTTCTCACAGAAGAAAATCTCTCATTGCCCTCACCTACCACTAAGTCCAACCAGGGAACCGTGCAGCCTCTGTACAGAGCCCAGGAGACACGGGTGAGGACGGGCATGAGCTCCTGGTGTCACGTGGCAGGGTGAGCCTGTGGTGTACACGCATGTTCGCTGGCTGGGACATCACAGGACAAGGCAGGTGGCAAACGTGCCACTGGCAGGAATAAGCATTCAGAGCTCAGGCCAGACGCTGGCACGTGCCCCAGGACTCTTCCCTGAGCTCCGTGTCAGAGGCAACCACGTGGGGCCCTCATGGGCTGCAGCCTCGGGGGGACACAGGTAGGTGGGGACCAATGGCAGGAGATAGATGCGTTGCCGGGGCAGGCAGCAGCCTTGCTGGACTGACTTGGGCTTTCACTCCCCCTACTACTGTGGCAATGACAGGACTTTTGGTTACTTTAATCTTTTAATTCTGGGTTCTAATTATCTATATTATGCTTCAGTGGATTTTCTCTTTTCTGCTTAAATAGTATTACAAAAAGAATTGGGTAAGTAGGAAGCTCTTTTTTTTTTGCCCTTTTTACTACTTTCATTTATCTACTGTAGTTTTCTGCCTTGTCTTACTGATTTTTGGCCCCTAAACTGTGTGTGGAGGTATGTGTGTATGCACACACATGGCTTTGGGCATGCTGGGTGGCACTTTGCCACTAAGCTGCACCCCCATGCCCTACTTTAAATGTGAATCACTTTCTCACTAATCTTTATCCTGCAAGTTTTAGAAGTGAATTCTTTCTCATCTGGGCATGTGTGTGGCCACTACATCCATGGGCCAGGCTGCCTGTAGAAGGGAAGAGAGGGCAGAAGAGGAGACCAAAGGCAGAGAACCCAAGCATTTCTCCCGCAGCCTTCATCCTTTGGAGGGCCCTTGGTCCAGCGTCCTCTGGGCTGAGAGAAGCTGCTTTTCATTCTTCTGCCGCTCACTCAGGGGAAGGGAGGAAAAGGCCAGTAAACAGGAAACTCACTGCTCCAGGCACCGTTCTCTGCGTGACCATTTCCCTCTCTAATCTGCTTATTCTTTCCCAGAGGCTGCAGATAATCACCTTATGCCTTCTGTTTGAGGTTTCCACTTGTCATCAGGAGGACAGCCGGGCAGAGTGTGCGCTGTCTTAGCTGGCCCTAGGCTTCTCTTTAAGGGAGCTCCGAACCCCAACTCTGTCATTTCTCCGGCCCATGGTTCCTCAACAGTGGCCCTATCTACACGCGCAGACATCTTCGGTGGAGGACTGTAGGGTGCTCAGGACCTCCTGGATGCCAGGACTGCCTGCATGGGTGTCACAGTCAGCAGTGTCTCCACCTGGGGAGTGTGTGCGAAGCCTGTGTCAGGCCCGCTTCTCCAGGTGCTCCCAAATGTCACCTGGGGGCAACTGATGCTTGGCTGAGAGGCCTTGCCTGGGTGGACAGCTCCCATGGCTAGGCAGAAGTTGTAGCAGGTGGGCTAAAAGTGAAAGGGAAAATTTCACCATTGACAACAAGCCTTGACACCTGCCTCCTTGTACCCAAACTCCTGGAGCTAAGAGAAGCTGCGGATGGGTTTCTCTGACTCCTTATTATCTTTTTTTTCTTTCTTTTTGGTGGTACTGGGGATTGAACCCAAGGCTTGTTACTCAGCTACATCCCTAGTCCTTTATTTTTTACCTTGAGATAGGGTCTCGCTAAGATACCCAGGCTGGGCTCAAACTTGCGGTCCTCTTGCCTCAGCCTTCCAGAGTGCTGGGATGACAGTGTCTCATTATGCCCTGGCTCAAAAACACATATTTTTATGTATTTTATGGTTTTAGACTTTTTTCCTCTAACCACCGGAGAAAAAAATCTAGGGGCGGATTGGTCACTTCTCTCTGTGACTTCAGGGCACCCCCCACGCCCAGTAGGACTCTGGTTCTTCACGTTTTGACTCCACTTTGCATCTGCTACAGGTGATCTGCTTTAACTGCTGTGGCCACCTGCTCCAGCTTACTCTGTCAGCTTAACTGTCTCAAAATCTTTATTCACTGTGTGCCTCCCACAATGGAGTCATTTTGGAAGCCCCAAATGCTAAGATTGGAACTAAGGGGAAACAGGATTCTTCTCTTCCCATGGATCATTCCTTCAGGGAGACATCAACTGAAATGGAGAAGGCCTCGTTTAGCATATCTACAAACAAGACAGACAGTGCTGGAGACCTGGAACTAAACCTCCCCATGAGGACTGCTGTTATAGACTGGTGTCCTCTCTGACCATTTTTGTACTCTGGCAAACAATTTTAAGTTCGAAAGAGTGACCACTTAACTTGCAATCTTCACAGGAACTGTCTATACTTGGCCTGACAGACATGGGGACTGAGATGGGAACCTAAGACAAGAAAGGCTTTTAGTTTTTGTTGCTGAATTTCTACTATCAAAAAACTTTCTATTTCACATTATCTGTTATACCTTTTAGTCCTTATTTACACTTTCAGTTTCTCACACTAGAGAAACTATTCAGTATTTACACGTGTCCTATTT